TTGATTGATTTGATTGTCAAAGAAACAAACAAATATCAGGCGCATTCTAACGATGATAAAGTATATAATGCCAATTCGCATCAAGCAAAGTGGATACTGGCAAATAACTTCGAAATCTACATATTGTTAGCTACAATTATGCTAATGTCGGTAACCAGAAAGAGCAAAATCTATGATTACTGGTCGACAGATCCTATGATTGCCACACCCATGTCCGGACAGCTGATTTCCAGAGACAGATTTCTATCTCCTTTGCGGTATCTGCATTTTAACGATAACTCGAATCATGTCGACGGTGACAGGCTACATAAGATCAAACCAGTGATAGATGAGTTACGGAAAAAATTCAAACTGCTTGTACATCCCTACAAAAATCTCTGTATCGACGAAAGTTTGATGCACTGGAAGGGTCGCCTAGTTTTCAAACAGTATATACCAACTAAACGGTGTCGATTTGGCGTGAAAACATTCATCATTTGTGACTGTCGAACAGGAACTGTACTGGATTTTATTGTATATACTGGTGCTTCTACAGAGCTATGATATGATCAAAAACTGGGAGTATCTGGTTCTGTAGTAATGACTTTAATGGAGCCATACTTGAACAAGGGTCATTTGCTTTTTCTCGACAACTGGTATACTAGCCCTAGTTTATTCGAGAAATTGTATGAACTCAAAACAGGTGCGTGTGGAACTATGCGTAAAAATCGCATCGGATCACCGGCTTTCAGTAAACTTGCGCGAGGCGATTTCGACTATAGGAACACCGATAATCTGATGCTTCTGAAGTTGCAAGACAAACGTGAGGTCATTATATTATCTTCAATTCATGAGCCGCGCATGATACGAACACAAAAAGGAGATAGGAAGACTTCGAAAGCAATTGAAAAACCAGAATGTGTCGTACACTACAACGAAAACAGGGGTGCGGTTGATAAAGTTGACATGGAGATCAGTTTTGTACAATGTTCACGAAAAACTGTTAAGTGGTACAAGAAATTTTTCTTTTACCTACTGGATTTATCAACAATGAATTCTTATACCTTATTCAAACTGAAGCATGGAAAAAATATATCGTTTAGCGATTTCCGTATTCAATTGATTCGACAACTCATTGAAAGATATGCTCAGCCTAAAAGATCGATTGGTCGTCCAACTATTGAAGACAACCCTCTACGTCTCACTGCTCGTTATTTTCCATCTCTAGTTCCNGGTCGTGGAGAGAGGAAGCATATGGATAGGCGTTATCAGTGTGATATTTGTGATGTTGGTCTATGTGTTGTAGGATGTTTTGAAGAATATCATACTGTAAAACATTTCTGAATGCTTTTCCATTGAAATAAAATCTATATCAGAACTTTTCAAGAATACGCTTTTTCTCGTTTTTTTCTAAAAAAGACCCCTCGCGAAAGGGTTAAGCACGAAACGTGAAAATGAGTGATTTTTGGGTGCACCCTCGGCGAAAATCGCTCTTACTGTCCTACAATTTTAAACAGATAAAAATAATATATTACAACTATTTTGTAGCTGAGACTTTCCTCTTTTTCATCATATAAATTGACCCTAAGTTCGTTTTTGATTCTCTGATAAAATCTTGCAAATACGAGCTGAACATACATTTTGACCAGTTTACGTCCCCACAGATTATATTCAATCGCCTGAAACTAATGCAAAAGCAAATGTCCATCTGTTTTCACTTTTCGATAGAGTAAAGAGCGAGAAATCGTTTGATAAAAAAATTTCTTGCTAACGACCTTATAGATCAAATAAAAAACTAAAATTAAGACGACAGGGGTATTCTTTTTTTACTAAATGTCTCGACAGATTTTAGATTTTGTTTCTTTGATTTCTCCATAATTGTAAGAGCTAAGACCACGATTTTTTTTATTCTTTTTAGCTGAATATATGGTAAACCTGTGGTAAAAGTTTCAGGCCTTAATCATGTGCTGTTCGTGAGAAAATAGTACTTTACTCGAAAAATGTCCCGACAGATTTTTTTTGGTTCCAAATGTCCCAACAGATTAAACTCAATCTACTAAAGCTGATATTAATAGTAAATTCAGATTTTCTTTTTCTGTTTAAGAGAGTAAAGCGAGAGAAATCTTTTGATATAAAAACTTTTTTCTAGGAGCCGTATAAATGAAATAAAGGATTAAAATTAAGATAGTAAGGGTCATGCTGATGGTGTCACGCGCACGTTTAAGCTTTTTTTATAGGCATATACATGTGTTGATAAAGTTCTACATACGCTCCTTCGATTCTCCTTTTCACAGGCTTTCGATTGATATATAATAACAATATACTAGTTGTTACTAAAGGATTTCTTTTGTGAAAATACTTCTAAAATTATTTATCTTATTATGTTAAGAAATCTGGGAAAATTTGCATTTTTAATATAAAATTGATTTTTTTCTGAAACCAAGAGCCTGACAGCTGGGAAAATATCTGATTTACATACAATCAATGAAGCTCTATCCAATGCACAATTCAATTGTCCTTCAGTCACTTTTTTTTTCGATTTTTTTCTTCAAATCGTACAATGCCAGCGCAACTCACT